CGTAAGTGTACTGCAGAGTCCTTATTCTCATTATTTTTGCGGATACAATTCAAACGTGTTCCATTTCGCTGGTTCACGTCCAGTATTTACTAGACACTTACAGCGTCAAGAGAGGAAAGGAGATGAATTAGACGATGCATTAAAATTTTGTTAGGAATATTCTGTCTTTGATTATTTATGCTTTGTGTTGCTTGAGGCACATTTACATTTGCAGATTTACAGCCCGGCCATAAACAAGGCACTATAACTAAAATTCGCTCAATAAATGCTGGTTGAAAAGATGGCGACTGCTGGCCCCTGGACACCAGTTTATTGACCACTAAACTACAACGGTTGCGTGCACGAAGCAGTGTAGCCGAAGTACTGACACCAGAGCACTTTAACACCCACAGACCACAGACAAGTAAGTGTGATCATTCTGTGGCCTCTTCTGGGAGACTGAAGCAAGTCCTGGCAAAACGCAACACACACGCATGAATATACAATAGTCCTTGCTGACACAAGCTGACAAGACTGCAGCATTATTTCCACATATTTTGCAGGAACTCATCACCATCAGCTGCAGAGGATGACACTGCATTCCAAGAAATGTAGCCCTTTCTTTCTCCAGTGTAATGTCTTCATTTTTTTCAGCTGCTGCAGTAAGTAAATGTAGTTGTTTCTCATCACGAATCGACTGTGAAGTCTTTCATCTGTGCAGACTCAGCTGTCTGGTTCAGTATAATGAAATTAGCTGCATTATTACTATACTTTCTCCCATTTTTGTTAGTTCCTAAACCAACATTATAGGTATAAGCCCTTAAAGGGAGAGCAGGAACACAGAAGAAAATATTTTAAGAAATGTCAGTGTATTTTTGTCCACACTTCGGAAATCAATTGTGAGCAAAACTGATTGTTTTCTAGCCGACTATCAAACAAATTGTGCAGCTAGTTCCTCTGTTCTTTCGAACAAAATTATTTTATATAAGTGCCGTGTGTCCAGTTGTTTTAAATTGTCATATGCTACTTGTAGTATTCTGTCAAGAGTTAAAACATTCTTCAATATATACTTTTCTGTTTTTGCAGAAGAAAAGAAAGCTTTGGAATGACATAATGGTGAGTAAATGATGACACAATTTTAATTTTTTGGCAGAACTTTCCCTTTAAGGAGCAAATTCACAATTTTTAGAGCAAAAACCTGCGTCTTAATCACTTATCACCTGCAGTCCAGTTCAATTTGAATTACTGTCAATCTTTTCTGTGTAAATTAGGCTTATCAATGGTTTATTATTTACAAATCTCAGCGCTTTACATCTAGTGCAATTATTGTTTACATACACTTTGATTGATTTTCCCGTACATTTCTGCCATATGTACATTAACTGACAGTCACCACTGATAAGCTACCACTAAATATTGTAGAAACTTAATTTGCTGTAAAGTTGCTTTGCAACGATTTGTATCGTGAAAAGCGCTATACAAATAAACTTGAATTGAATTGAACTGAACTTTAATTGATCATTGTAATGATATTAATTTAGTAATTTATCAAATGATGTTCAGACGATGAAGAAGAGCCTTATAATATCAGATATCCAGATATGTGGCGCAGGCAAACACAGAAAAAATGGATTCAAGAGTGTGGATCAGGATATATGCAAATAAATTATGATATCAATACATTTTTAGTAGGGGTGGGAATCTCTAGGCACCTCACGATTCGATTCGATTACGATTCAGAGGGCTGCGATGCGATGATAAAACGATTAGGCCTATCGATGCATCTTTTTTTCTATACAGATTTTCTTTTTTTCTCACTGTGTGACTATTGAAGCAAAGTATCTGTAATGATCAATAGTGAATTTACTTCCAATATCTTTTATTAATAAAACAAACGTAAGTGATTTGGCAAGTCATCTGTAAGTTTACATTTGCCAGCAAATGTCCCAGCATTGCAAAGAACCAACAGGAAAAGAAACGTGTGCCTGTAGCAGCATACTTGTAGTAAATTAATACAGACTTCAGCATGTCCTGAATCACTAACAAAAAATAATAGACACAACTTGCATATAGTGTGGCTCTTGTCCAGGTCCTTTTTCCCTTCAACTTCATAGAAGAGCGCGGACTTGACAACCCTGCATTCAACACGAACTGCAGGAGGCAGATTTCACTGATCACGGGTCAAAAGGAGATCGTGCTGGAAGATTTGCTGCTCAACAGATCCTGAGCTCATTGACAAATATCTGATCTTGTAAGATGTGTTGCCTTTACAGAGTGCGTGTGATTGCAAAAATGATAGTGAACTGCAAGCGATCATTCACAATCGATTTCAATACCCCTCAGGCTCCCTGATGCGCAAAAATTATATACAATATTAGAATGTTTGCGAGAGCGGGCAGGACTGGACACAAAAATTGCAGGAGCGGGACTAAGAAAACAGTCCCGCACAGGGCTCTAAGCCATACGCTAGCTTTTGATGCAGAGGGTGCCTGATCATGCGTCTCTTACATGCACGCCACAGACTGTCCAGGCGCTGCACTTCCATGCTTCAGAGTTCCGCCTTTTGCATTCCGTCAATATTACGTTATCAATTAACATTTAGAAAATCGATTTTTGACATTTGTGAATCGATTCAGAGTCGTCCACATCCGCATCGCGATGCATCCAAGAATAAAATTTTTCCCCCACCCCTAATTTTTTGTGAATTCTTTCTTTTTTTGTTATAGAAAAACAGCTGTAAATGTATACGTTTTAGAATACAGTTGTGCAGGGTTCAACTGGCTTCCAAACCTCCTGCAAGTTATTGGACAGCCCGGAATCAAAATCACAACAAGGCTCTTTCCAAAATATGCAAATCAAAATTAATAGCCATGGCAAAAACAGTCCATTCAGTCTATTCAGAACACTTCCGTCAGGCTTGTGGGACCACAGGAGACGGAAGAGAAATAAGACTGTCCCTAGCAAACTGTGTTAAGGCCAGAAAAAAAATTGCAGAAGCACAATCAACCACCCGCCATGCATTCATTATTTAGAATAGGTTTTAGCGAGGCTCGAGAAACACTGCAGTCAACAGTGGTCGGTCAAACCATGGGAAGTCTGAAGGGAAAAAGGCAGCCTGTGCTAATCAAGAATAATATTACACTGAAGATATCTACATTAATTGAGACCTGGTTCTAGGCTGAATAATCAACTGCTTCAGTTCGCCTAAACTAAGTATCGCTGTAATTATTGTTCAGAGACAATAATCACATGCTGAAAAGAATCTTTGAGCGCTTTTTTGGTCACACATGTAAAGGTGTCCCATTACTTTGACAGGGTAATCTTTTCAAGCACAAGTTACCATATTTTTTTTGAAGCATAAAATCTAATAAAGGGGAAACTATGACATACAGTACAAGTACACTGGTGTAATGCAATCATGAAAGATTATGCATTCATACACAACTCTATGGCACAGATACCTCTCTGGAGATGAGGCGGTTTGCCCCATTGGCTGTAAATGTATGCCGCTGAAAGGTCAACCATGACAAAATGATCTTGATTAACCCTGTGAGACATGAAGGCTTAAGACTGACTCATTTACAGTCAGTCTGGATACATTCCTTTTTCATGACCATAAAGAACCAATATAAATGATGAAGGATGAGAGAGGAAAACCCTAATGAAATCTATGGCATCTGGGCGCACTCAAAAGACATGTTAGTGCAGTTCATCAGATAACCGCAGCTCTTATGGACAAACCCTATCACTGGGAACATCATATTTATATACACAACTTCAAAAAAGACATGGTATATAACAGTTATGTTTTGTCATATCACAAAGACAAACACAAGGTAATCAATGTTGTATAATAAATTGAGTGCATATTGTTTAAAAAAAATTTTGAAAAGGGTTTATTCCTTTATCTACAGACCAAAAGATCCATTTAAATTCTCAAATAACCTAGAGACCCCTATGTAGAAAAGCTAGATTTTTTTTATATCGGAAAATGTTTCATTAGTAACAAACATTTTTACTTTCTATAATGCATAATGGATATTACAAATTATATATATATATATATTAGGGCTGCACAATTAATCGAATTTCTAATCGCGATTACAATTATGGATGCCACAATTACGTAATCGTTCAAAGCGGCAATTAATTCTCAATTAAACGTTCAAAGTCCACTTATGATATTCTGCGTGCTTAAGATGCGTTTTTTTTTCTTTCTACATGTTATCTTAAGGGTTTTTCCATTGTTTTAATTTTAGTTTTAGTATAACACTATAATACCATTTATATTTTTACTTTTTTTTTAGAAGTTAAAGAAGAAACCAATCCGATGTATAGTTGACATTTGAGGTTTAATACTATAGAAAAGCACTAAAAGTTTTTCAGTTAGAGTGTTTTCAGCTTGTTTATTTTCATATAAAAATATGGCATGCAGTTGCATCAAACAATGGTATAAACATCATTCAATGTAAATTGTGATAATCGTAATTAATCATCGCAATTACAATTTCAAGGGAATAATCGACAATTAGGATTTTTGTCATAATAGTGCAGCCCTAATATATATATATATAAATATATATTAATACATGGACCCCTTTAGAGGACCTTCAGTGCCTCTATATTTGTGTAACTCTGATCACTTCTGAGGGCTTGGTTTTAACCAATAACACTAAACAGCCATTTCTTTGATTCTAAAACATTATTTGTACTTTTTAGACTATAAAGGAGTACAGACTACATTTACTTTTACATTTACAAATACAGCAGGTTCAGTCACTTGGACATCAGTCATCAACACTTGTTTGCATTAATTTTGACAACTCCCTCATGACTCAGGGCTCAACAGATATATTGGTGTATAAAAATAACGTATACACAATTCACGTAAACTTTCCAATGTATTTAGACCGAAGTTATCAAACATACTAGACTAAACATTAAAACAATACTTTTGTTATGGGAAAAAAAAAAGCTTTTTATGCATTTACACTTTGTTAAATTATAAGAAATTCTCTTACCTTTTAGCAGCTAGCCAACTACCCCTCGGCAGTGAAGAATAACAATCTTGTAGCACATTAAATGTATTTCAGAGCTTGAGATTTCCTTGAACGTCTCTTCGTGAACATGAGCATCTCTTTCATCTCTGAGGCAAGCCGCATCTCGCTTTCTCACTCTGTTTTGCTATTTTGCTCCACTTGATGTGTGTCACTAATCCTCTTGCATTTTTTTATTTTGCATAGCTGTGAAACCACTATAACAGCGATAATCCTTATCTAAATCCGTTGCCGTGTCCCCTTTGCTTTGCAGTCCCACGTTTCTCTGTGGACGCACATAAGAGCCCAGCTGTTTTTAAGTCGGACAGCGCTGCCCGTGTGCGCATGCGCCAAGAGAGAGAGAGAGAGAGAGAGAGAGAGAATTTGAATTTTGAAAAAAAACTTTATTACAATATTTCACATAAAACACTTTTTCAACAAATCAACATTTACCATTTTACATTTATCTTTTAATACCACAAGGAAAACAAAACCAAAACAAAAACCTTTTTTACATTAGTAAAAGAGAAAAATATATTTTTCCATCAATAACAGAGCACAGAGCATCATTCTTACACCACTTCGTTTCAAAAGTAAAAACGTCATCCATGGATGTATAAAAATGAAAATCAATAAGAATTCTGGATTTAACGGTGAGAGAGAGAGAGAGGGGGGGAGGTGGGGCAGTCCACACTGGGAGGAGAGAGTTTGGGACTGGAACATCAGCAGCACTTTTCAATCTGTTACACGAAACGTACATGTAGGGGAGACCTGGGAGTGTGTAACACAGGGTGAGTTACACACTCCCAGAGTTACACCCCCCCC